CTGATTCAGTGAACACCAGTGCCAGTGTATGTACTGATTCAGTGAACGCCAGTGTCAGTGTATGTACTGATTCAGTGAACACCAGTGTCAGTGTATGTACTGATGCAGTGAACGCCAGTGTGACTTTATCGGTGATCAGTATACTGAAACTGCACATCCCTAGGAATATACAAGACATACCCACATCGATACTTCGATGTAAAGATTCACATAAACAATTATGTCTAAATATATATCCATGAAAAATGAATTACAGACAGCATTCAACAAAAACTATCCAAACGCAACCGTATACATAAAGGGTGTCGAACAAGTTTGAATCCCTTCTAAGTAATATTCTTTTCTTACGTTTTTTCTGTAAAATAGGCTGATATTTACAACATATATACTTGACATCTGGATGTACTGTGCGTTAAAATTCGAACTTTCTACTTCTTATAGTTATAGAGATACACATAATACAAAAATTAAAATGAATTATTCAAAATCATTTGTGGGAATTTTTTTCTGCTGCTTTATAGCAATGTTAAATAAAAGCCAACAGATGGAACGAGGTTTACAACTCGAAATTCTAAACGTAACGCTCAGACAACATATGTCGGTGTTTATATACCTAACTCTTCATCTTAATCTATTACTTGTTTCAACCGACACGGTAAATTTCCTATCCTTTGCTCACATTTTGCTGTCGTAAGCAGTTTCCATTTTTGCACTACTCGATTTTCTAATTCTGATTCATTTTCAAGTCTTTCTTTTCTCAATCTATTCTTTGGCTGCATCTCAAACTGTTTCTTTTAGCCTAATATCAGCAAATTTTGCATCACCAACTATCGAGTTAATACGCTCGCTAAACAACGATTCAATAGTATTCATCACCATGATTGTTCGATGTTTGCCATTGTGATAATCTTGAAAAATCAGTAACAAGTTAGCATTTATAAAAAAAAATGACAAATGATACAACATATTAGTGATATGCAGATTACTAAAAGTTACTCTTTATGAACGATCCATTGAATAATCACAATTTGTTCATTCATAATATTTGCAAAAATAATGTAAAAAATTCGTATGAATTTTATTCATTTCAAAATAGAAGAAGAGTGAGTATTTTTGGAATAATTTTCGAGAGAAACACCATAAAGATCAGTGTTTTTCATCGTTTAACAGGTGCGATGAAACTGTATCGAATCGTTCATATCAGATTATTCTGACAAGTTTTCTTAGGATTGACCATGAAATTCATTAAAAACAACACATTGTATAATGAAAAAGTTTGAGAAATTTAATTTTCAAGAGTGCACGATAGAATCATTAACTAAAAAATCTATAAATTATACAGGTCCAATGTTGTAAAGTTTAACCAATCATGAGTTACAAACATTTGACTATATGATAGCGGCAGATTGTTCACAAAAAATTGACCTTTTTCCTGATTTTTTTGACCAAAACTCTACCTCATAAACCTAGTTAAAAGCTTCAACTTTTTAAAAAACTTGGCGTGAGACCCCGAGAAAACTTGTCAGCGAAATTTGGTATGCACATTGTAATGCAGTTTCATCTCTTTTTCTAAATGATGAAAACTGGAGATCTTTATCTTTTTCTTATCATAAATTATGCAGAAAATCCTCATCCTTCTTTTAGTTAGAAATCGATCATAGTATATACGACGCTGCAAATATCAGTTTATTCTGCTGAAAAAAACATATAAGAAAAGAAAATTAGTTGAAAGGGATCAAAACTTTTTAGACAATTTTTATTCATTGATTGATACATTGACATATTAGCCATGACGAATGAAAAACAAAAAAGTGAAAATGGAGAGAACAGATCAAAATAACATTGAGCGATATGATATCTCGGTGTTTCAAAGCACCATTTCACTGTCTTCGCTCGATTCGAATGACTAATTCAACAGTGAACACTTAGAATTCTTATTTATATATAATTATAATGGCTATCGCACATCATTTGCCTACATTCCATAAAAACTTGAAAGCAGTGACACTTGATTCAACTTAGTCTATTACGGTCATTGTCTGATTAAGTGTCGCCGATATTGGAGAGTTGTTCGAAGTACGTCTGTTGCATGCTTGAAAAACTCGACATGTGTACCACATGCGAGCTGAAATGTATCGTGGGATCAGTAAAGACTATACTGATCAGTGTAATGTTGATGATGTTTTGATAAAACAACGACAAAAATCTGCTTGTAAGAAATTTCTTTCAATGGTGGTAAGACGTTTATCATTTGATAATATTGACAGCAGTAGAGGCGTACCTTAATCGCTGTTTTGTTTTTTTTCTTTCTTCGCATCGGTGGCTGTAACTGATCATTCACGATCATGCTCTGTTCTCTAACCTCAATATATGTGTCTGCCTCCTTTAGTTGTTGCTCTTACTTTTAGTCTTCATATAATCTTAACAAGCAAGCAAACAGACATGATATTTGTTAGCTCGACATGTCTTCTTGTGTTCTGTATAATAACTTATTTCTATTGCAAATGGCGCAATTCCATGATGTCAACTGCTATTCCTGATCTTCGACCAGAATTTATTATCGGCAACATTCGTAATTCCGACCTATTTTCTCGCCGCAAAAGATTCCATGAAGTTTTTGCAGAATTCAAACCAATCTATGGCGACATTTTCACTTCGCATTGCATTTATAAAACGTCCGATATTCCTATTTCCACTTTCAGTTTGATAATATCTAATTCATTGTTTGTATTACGTGATCAGGCATGGACACGACATGCATGTGTACTTTTACCTATGTTGAAGCGTGCTAAACTTTTACAATATGCAGATACTATTGTGAACAGTACTGATTAGTTAATAGACATTCATCTCATCACGGACGAAGGTGATCGAAAAAATATCATTTCAAAATGTCAAGCGCTATTGTTGAATATTACTGATTCCATTGCATTCGATTAAGATCTAGATGAAAATAACAAAAAAAATTAGTCAAGGACAACAAGCAATGTCGCTAGCATTGAAAGTAAGATTTTCAGTGCAAACCTATCTATATGAATACATTTCATGGCTCAGATATCAGATCTCGTATCGTATTTCATTTTCGAAAAAAATTTACTTCCATTTAGTAGAAAAGAATCGAAAAGCAACATTTTGAAAGGAATACTCTCGAAAACACATCTTCAATTATGAAATCTCAAAACTTTTACATATAGTTATTATTGTTTAGTATATATGTTTAATCTTTTCTTCTACTTTTATTTGTTCGATAATGATCCAATAACTTGTTGATTACCCGAATGCCATCTAAGACTTTCAGATCAAAACACGGGAAATCATGTGATATCATTTTTGACGCTGAACGAATCATCTTTAGGATCAAATTAACACCTATAAAAGATCTTGTTCGACTAACTTATCAAGATACGTCGGTATAAAAGATATGATCTCGACATGTCGTGATTACATGGAAAAATTGAGAGCAGCCTTTCAGCGTAGCAAAAACTTGTCGAACTGCGTCGAGCTCTATGAAAGAAATTGTAACTTAGTGTTGCATAATGAGACGTTTGTTTCAGTGAAATTGAGTTGATGTAACAAAGAATAACTAATTTCTAAATATATAGGAAAGATTTATTCACAATGAAAGAGTTGCATTTATCCTTTGATAATTTTTATCAATAGCGACTCAGTTTGTGTAGTATTATATCAGTGGGATTTGTATTATTGTAGGACTATGTTCGCTTCAGTGCACAGCTGTTAATGCTTACTGGAATTTCTAAGTGATTTGGCAAGCTCTACTTGTTCTTAAATTGGAAATACCGAAATGCTGCCCATCTCCTTCGTCAGCACTGCCTTGTCATTGTAATCGAAGAACAAAAATGCGCACAACAAATGTCATGTTGGCATTCAAAACGAAAACATTTTATTGCATTTTTGGTTTCATCACTAAACAATGAAGCAAATGACAATGATATCTCCTCTGGACTAACGCTACCAGAATTATTTGATGAAATTAAAAGTCTTATCCTTACTGGCTTTGATACAACATCTACTGCTCTGTCTTGGTTTATTCATTATGCGTCGAAACATCCTGAAGTTCAACAACGAATTAAAGATGAACTTCGAGAACATAATCTCATTCCAATGACCAGTAGTGTTGCGCTTACAGCAGATATTCTCACTAAACTCACCTATATGGATTGTGTGATTAAAGAAGTATTGAGATGTGCACCCATTGCTTTCAATGTCTTACGCATTGCTCTCTGTGATGATCTGATCGATGGAACAATTCATGTGCGAAAAGGTGACACTATTTTTATGTCAATACACAATATTCATTCAGATCCTCGATATTGGCGTATTGATGCATCACGATTTGTTCCTGAACGATTTTTACATGAAGACAAAGATCATCATTCATATGCATTTTTACCCTTCGATGGAGATTATCGCGCATGTGCTGGAAAGGGGTGGACACTCATTTCGTCCCCTTACACTACGTCCCATTCATTTCGTCCCTCACTCATTTTGTCCCTTTTCATTTCGTCCCAAATTCATTTTGTCCCAGTGTCATTTCGTCCCATACACTTGGTCCCAACCTCATTTTGTCCAGTTACACTTTGTCCTACCGGACAAGTCGTTTCTGACGATTCTACTTAATATACAATGTTATGTACTATGATCTTCTACGTATAATATATTAACTAAAATGAAGAATGAATAACAGTTCAAGAATTTAGTTTCACATTAGCAGCCACACCGGGCCAGATCTTGAGGGTGAGGGTCACAGCTTTCGCATCGAAAAATACGTTTTTCATCAGTCAATCGGTGTTGCATGTACACGAACTCACCATGATATACAATCGGATTTTCTCTTTTACTCTTCAAAATTTCAATATCACCCATCGGTCATATAGATAGCAACACTTGATTAAATTAGCAGTTACCGGGATTTTTTTTTCGGATTTTTTAATAAATCTATATACGTTTTTAAATAAATCCCGCACTATCTTGAGGGTGAGGGCAAAGGCACTGGTGAGGGTGAGGGTGAGGGTGAGGGCGCAGACGCAAGTGTGGGTGAGAGCGAAGGGGTCAGCAGTCGAGTGAGGGTGCACGAACATCTTGATACAGATAATAAAACCCAATAAATCCCCATTAAATAAATAAATCCTAATAAATCCTATAGAAGAAATAAATCCCAAAAAAATATGTCCTGGTAGCCCCTCGATTAAATAGCAAAGAAGAACAGCTTTACGTGGTGAACAAGATTTGAGTGTAAATTTTTTTCTTTTCTGTTTCTCTTTCGTTAAAGTTAGCTAATCATATCAAAAAAGTAGGGACAAAGTGTAACGGGACAAAATGAGTTTGGGACCAAGTGTATGGGACGAAATGACACTGGGACAAAATGAATTTGGGATGAAATGAAAAGGGACAAAATGAGTGAGGGACGAAATGAATGGGACGTAGTGTAAGGGGACGAAAAGTAATGGGACGAAATGATAGGGTTCCCTGGAAAGGAACTAGCTTGGTTTGAACTTAAGACTATAATTGCACGATTGACGCAACAAGTAACATTTGAAGACACGAGCTTGAAAGACAATTCAGGTGGATATGATCAACAACTTGTTTGTTACTCAAAGCATGTCGCCGTCAACGTTCGTACAGATGAAGAGTAACCAAAGTTTTCTACAGCTAAAAAGGTTGTTTATTGTATAGCTTTGCTTTGAATAGTCGTTCTCTTATTTTAGAGAAAACTTTTTTTAATCTAATGTAATAAACTAGAAAAGCGTTAAATTCATATAGCTCTATTCATGCATCTGCCTTGTTTCGATTTAGCTTACTATGATAGAACGAATGAAAAATTAATCAACAACTTATTGATGAAAATATTTGGTTCTAACTATTTGTGATCAAGTTCCACATTTTATAGCTGTGGCGATAAGCACTCATTTGGAGACTCCAAACTGTAGGATCAAATTTTGAAAAACAATGCTTCATGATTGAACGTTTTCTAATCATCACATTTTCTTTCGTATAAAATGTTGGAAAGAAGTTTAAGAACAACATCGTTTCTTTTGATTCTGTTTGAGAACACGAAGAAATGAAGTTCTAACGATTGATATAGCTAGTTAGAATGCATATACACCTAGAGCATATAGAAAGACTCCGTAAATTTTAGTCTCTGTGGAAGGATAATGTTTTATTGTTTCTTCAGCGGAAAAAGTTTAAGAATAAAATAAGTACAGTCACGTTTATCATATTTTTCTTTAACATAACAAACAACCATTCTTTTTTCTAATACGTCATCTAAATGAACAAAATGTGCTTGATGTAATACATTAATATACTTTGAACAACCTTCATCTTAAAATACCTTAATATTTGCAATTTCAAACCTGTAAGGTTGCCTATATGATTTTCATAAAAAACTTTGATATTTCGTAGTTTTATAGCACAAACTTAAATTAAAGTTCTTTTCCATTGGCTTTAATAAATTTTTCATTAGCAGTGAACATCAGTTGGTTTCACTATTTGGACCATTTTTTGTATATCTGCGACAAAGTGGGCTCGTTCTTAGCTTAAAATTGCTCTTCTTGTTAGATTATATGCAAGTTTTTATGATATTGATTAGACCAGTCTTCGATTCACGTGTTTGATAGTCTTAAAGCTCATCATTTTGTAGACAATTTTGGGCTCTATCAGGCTCCATGACAACGGTTGATCTTAATGATGTTTTTGTTAAACTAAATACAATTCTATTCTCAACTTCTTCTCATATGAAATACAAATATTTGAATAAGATGTTGAATCAATGTTGTACGATCATTTTGCATACGACGAAGATTTTTATAGAGTTTCATTTATTTTAATTGAAGACGTAAATCAAAACTATTTTCATGACCGAATTCAAACAATGATATCCAATATTGTATTAAGTTCATGTAAACAAGATCTTCCTAAAACAAAAAAATCAATTGTCATCAGAATTCTTCAAATTAAAATGAATGCATTGAAGGATATAGCGAGGCATGATCTTTCATAAATGAAATAGTCTTTTAATTGGCATCTCCTTTTTTTGTGAAAATTTTTGATGATTTTCATCAACTTCTACTTGCAAAATATACTGTTTTCAGAAAAAGTAAGAAATATTTTTCGTTTGTTCTGTTTATTATAGTCAACTGCTTTTTGTTTTGTTTGATAGAGCATGTCAAGATGCAGGAGACGATAGAGTCCCTAAGCCGTGTTACTATTATACAAATAAGTACCTTCTTTTTATAATTGAAACGTCATCTCCATAAGAGTTTATTAAGGTACTGAACTTTTCCTCCATTTTCTCTCCTTAAAAGAGGAAAAAAAATTAAAAAGAGCTCTCTCTCATGGCTTGTATCCTGACAAGCCTTTTCAAACAAAACAAGAAATTAATTATATAAAATGAAAACCCAAAAAAAACAAAAATTTGCATTAACACATGAGTTATTTTTAACTTTTGTTTGTTAAATATGTTTCGACAATTTCATGGTCGGTGACTGAAAATTTCATGCAATTTCAATGTACTTAAGCCAAGATCAAGTTTTTAGGACGGAGAGAGCCATAAATAAATATAATTTTTTTCTAAAACTTGATTGTATCTTTAAGAAACAGATCTTCCGAGTTATTTTTCTTGTTCAATAATATTTAGTCACTGAATATGATACTAGAAAAACAAATCGTATTCTATAATTGGTATCACTTTTTTCGTTAATTTGCTGTCGCACGAATAGAGAAGCATTCGTATTATCTATTTGGCTGATAGTGTTAAAAATGATTGCTCGTTCTGATCTGATGAATAATTTTTAGTCTGTTTTTATCACTCATTCGTTGAGCACTATTATGATTATTATTAGAGAAAAAGTACATAGCAACCAAGTCATTTAAATTAAAGAATTCACTAATATCAGTGCATAAAATTTCGATATTTTTGTTCATTTTCAAAGAAGATTTTATATTTTGAGCAACTTGTCGTTGGGCGGTGACACATAGCAGATTCTACGAAAAAGAATACGTAGAAAATAATTATTTTCGCAAGCATTGCATCATCTTTTGAAACCTATTTGATGTAATATTGCAATTTATTTTCATGATCTATCACTTGCTATTTCAATATCACATAACTAGACAATTTCGACTGATTTTGTTTTTGTAATATCTTGCTTATTTGCATATGATTGATTATTACAATAATTATGAGAGATCGATTGATGTTAACTGTTGTAAAAATTAATATGGCCATATTTACTATATGTTCTCTACAAGGATGAATATTGTTATCTTAAAAATTCTATTAGTCGATCTGACATCCAATAGAATGTGTCTTTCATCACCGGCTAAGTGTCTTGTTCAGCTAGCTACTTATTGTGGTGCCGTTTACTTGACATATCGAATTATTGACATCGATTGTTGATATTTTGTGAAATCAATATATTTTAGATTTCTATGGCGAACATTTCTACTGATATCAAGATCGACGTTGATTACATAAGTGCTGCATGTAACTGTTGCCCACATTCGCTAGATTGGCAGAATGGTCCACGACTTATTTATGGTGTTACAAACAGTGTAGCTCTGTGTTCTGATGTATGATAGAAATATGTTACTGTAAATTCTATTTTTTTTTTTTCATCATAGATTGCTCCATTTTCTGTACGTAAAACATTTTCCGGTCATCAAGGACGATTAAACTGTGTGAAATGGATTAGACAAGAACAACGAAGTTTGTTTTGTTGACAGCAAAGAAATATATTTTTTAACAATTCTCTTTATTTTATTTCTATAGATGCAAATAGTGAGTTCCATTATTTTCTCAGTGCATCTGTTGATAAAACAATCGGTTTATGGAAAGGAAAAGATGAAGATGTATGTTATATAATTTGTCTTGATACAAAAACAAAAAAAAGATTCATTAATTTTTTTTCTAAAATAGTATACAAAGTATACTTCACTTGTTGGACATCAGAATAGTGTGACAACTGTGGTTGGTTATCAACAATCTCCTAATGATGATATCTATGTAGCTAGTGGTTCTGCAGATTCCACAGTAAAAATCTGGTGTATCAGTGATACGTTAGGTATATAACTATAGATCTATGAATCTTTTCTAGTAGTTCTTAATTTTTTTATTGTCTTCTAGCTACTTGTATTCATACACTTGATTTTATGAATGGTTTTGCTATTACATTGGAATTAGTTCCATTAGATAATCATAAAAATAGTAAGTTTTTCTTAATTTAAAGAATATTTGACCAGAAACTATTTGTTTGGCTTTAGTATTCTTATTGTTTGTTGCAACGGATAAAAATAAAGTTCAAATCTATCAAGTATCAAACAGTGTGGTTAGTGAGTTAAAGTAAATACTTTTGAAAAAATATCTTGTAAACTTTATTGTATTTATTTATACAGATTGAACAAGTTTTTGTATTGACTGGACATGAAGATTGGATACGTTCAATAACAATTCAAAAATTAAGTAAGAAGAAACATTTTTCTTTATGCTATTTATTAGTGTTTTAATGAATTAAATTTTTTTAAGCATCATCTCAATGGTTTATTGCAACTTGTTCTCAAGATAATTATATTCGTATTTGGCAATTATCATTTGATGAAAGTAATAATCAGACAAATGTTGATTCAACAATATTAAAATTAAAACGAAGTTCATTTGCTGTAAAAGTTTCTGGTATAAAAAAAATGAATTTCTGAAGAAATCGATTTAATTAATCATTAGTCTTTTTTTTTTCTTCCTATCTAGATGAATCTCCAATTAATGTTAATGTTGAACTTTATTCAATTTTATTAGGACATGAAGAAGCCATTTATGGTCTTTGTTGGTATCCAAATACAGGTAAATTATTTTAGTTAAATTATTCATTATGACATTATTCTTAACCTTGAAGATTTAAAAAAAGCAGCAACAACAATTCTATCAGCATCAATGGATAAATCAATGGTTTTATGGACTTTTGATGACAATCAAAAAATGTATATCGATAAAGTAAAATCATTTTGTTTCGTTTTCTTGTTACATATAACAACTCTTTTCTATTTTAATGGTTCTATTAGGCTCGTGTGGGTGAAATTGGTGGTAATACACTTGGTTTTTATGGATGTACATTTAGTTCATGTGGTTCATATATACTTGGTCATGGTTATGAAGGTGCTTTACATTTATGGAAAATTGAAGAAGTAGAATTCATGATTTAATTTTAGTGTGAACTAGAAGTTTTCTTTTCTTTTTTGTAGATTGATGATCGAATTAATTTAATTCCACAAGTAATTAATAGTGGACATTTTAATACAGTTGAAGATTGTTGTTGGGATAAACATAGTGGTCGTTATTTATTAAGTGTATCAACAGATCAAACAACACGTTTACATGCTGAATGGAAACGAAATGAAGTAAATAAAATTTTTTTCTTGTGTTATTTAAAAATTTTCTTTTCTATATTTCAAGATAATTTCATGGCATGAAATTGGTCGACCACAAATTCATGGTTATGAAATGAAATGTTTAACTTTTATTGGTTCAAATCATCAACGTTTTGTATCTGGTGCTGATGAAAAAATTTTACGTGTATTTGATCCACCGAAAAATTTTCTTGAAAATTTTGCTCGTATAACAAAAATTAATGTTGACGAAGATATTCAAGTAAAATTTTCTATTTTTAATTAATATATCTTTTTTTTTGTTTGTCGTTTTCTTTAGAAAGCACAATCTTTGCCTGAGGGTGCTAATGTACCAGCATTAGGTTTATCAAATAAAGCAATTTTTGATAATGATGAAGATCAAACAACAACAACAACAACAGTAATGGATGATAATCCAATGACTGTTGATGGATTATATAAAGAAGGATTTTTTAAAGCAATTGTTTTGAATGGTAAGTTATAGAAAAGAAAAGTTTTCATTGATCAAAATAACACATTTGTTTTATTGAAGAACCACCATTTGAAGAACATCTATTACAAAATACACTTTGGCCTGAAATTCAAAAACTTTATGGACATGGTTATGAAATCATTGCTGTTGCATCAAATCCCTCTGGTTCAATCATTGCTTCATCGTGTAAAGTAGGTCATTCAATAAGCTATCAACAATCACTTCAAAAACATACGATGAAAATTTTTGTACACATACTCCAACAAGAATATCGTTTCGATTACTTAAATAGAAAGAGAATTGTAATGAATGGTATCTATTTTTTCTTTGAATTCTATAGCCTCTCAATAGAGTGCTTGTTGAAATTCCCGCTGTTTCTTGTCAAGTATACAATTAATTGTTGATATTTTCACATAGAATTAAGATTAAGTCTATGATCTTTCTGTACCCCAAAATACGAGTTACTATGTTCGAGTATTGGCGTTCCTAAAATTTTGGCGCCGACAAGACTCATTTTTTCAGTTGTAGAGAAAACTTTCTTGAAAGTTTGATTTCGATACAGCGAACTATTACCGAATTATTTATCTATAGAAGGCAATAGATGATATTATTCCACATTAATGATTACGGTAAAATAGCCATAGCTCTCGAAAAACTTGATAAATTCAGATAAAATTAATAATGTAAATAACTGAAACAAAGCGTTAAAATAATAAGACTGTTTCTTTCGAGCCTTATGAAAGTGAAAGCAAAATGACGGTGTCCATGTGTCATTATGCTCATTGAACTTAAGCCATTGGAATGAGATTTTGTCGCTGATCTATATTCTTGGTAAAGTATGTTTACACAAGTTTTCAGATCTTCAACATCTTTAATGGTTGAAATCTGAGGAGGCGGAGATCTTCATTCACCATTATAGATAAATGTAATAATCAGAATATCATAAAAAAAACGGATTAGTTTTTAATGAAATAAATTTGCATACCGTATATTAATCTTATTGGCACTATAAAAGATTTTTTCATATTGAGATAGAAAAGCCGTAATTAGTATGTCAATATCTATTAGTGAAGTCGTGCGTTTAAAAAACAAAATGAAACGTAGTTATATGTATATATATATATATATAGAACTATGATGAACATTTTTTTTTCATTATTTATTAAGAACGTCATTGAAAAATTCAAGAGTGATCAATAAAAAGAATGATTCTCTAGTTATAGAGCGGTTGCCATCTGTCTTCGACGTATGGTTGATCCTCTGAGATTATAAAACTTATACATCTTTTAGTTGATTGTCAAGCCATTTTAGATATTGTTTTTATCATAAAGAAAAGAATTAATTAAGTCTATTGATCAATGTTAGAATATTTTTATTTTCATTTTTAATAACATTGTCTCGTTTTAGGCAAGTCAACAAAATGATGCAGCAATTATATTATGGAATACAAATACTTGGAAACCTATTATTCGTCTTGCTATACATCAATTAACAGTTGTTCGAATGACTTTTTCAAATAATGGTCAATATTTATTATCTGTATCACGTGATCGATCTTGGTCATTATTTGAAATAGATGAAACAAGTATGTTATATTCTAGATTTTGTTTTTTGTTTGATTTTATATTGACTTTTTTGAATTAGATTTTCAAGCTCGTTTATATAAACGAATATCTAGTAATAATCCATATCATAAACGTATAATATGGACATGTAGTTTCTCACATGATGATAAATATTTTATAACGGGTGCACGCGATCAAATTATACATGTATGGCATGTTAATGAAAAAAGTCATGATGATAATGAACAACCTTGTGAAAAAAATTATTTAAAATTAAACGATTCTGTTACTGCTGTTACATTTGCATCTCGATTGATCGAGAATGAAAAGTTTGTAAAACTAATTTGAATTATGTTTTGTCTATTTTAAATGAACTTTTTTTTTTTTTTTTGTTTGATAAATTTAGATATTTTGTTGTAGCAGGACTTGATAATGGTACTGTTTTATTTTATACATGGAATGAACAAATATCTTGGCAACATTTAACATCAATCACACCACCGTAAGAAAAAATTTAATATTAAAAAAGAAAAAAAAATGATTTCTTTTTGTAAGAACATAAAAATCAATTCTACTTGTTATTTATTAAATTTAAAAAAAAATCAAAAATAGAATCATGTTTATTCTAAAAGAATTGTTTAAATACCTTGATATATTCATTATACTTCTTACTATGAAATAATTTACTCGATTGTAGTTTGTTGTTATAAAAGAAAAGCTGAATAGTTATTCATTTGGGAATATCTTAGTCAATGAAGAAAAAATATGAACATAACTAATAGTTATTTCTTTTTTAGAAATTCTCTAGCGTTATTTTCTTCATTACACCGATGATAGAATTGTTTCTGATAAAACTAAAAATATTCTAATCATGGAATATTCTTTTTTCTTTTGTTTGTTAAGGTAAAAATATTTGTGATTATTTTAAGAAGAAACTTTTAAAATATATGTATGTTCCTTAGATTGATTTTACTCGATATAATATATTAGAAAAGAAAAAAAAGTCTTTATGATTCATCAGAAATCGAAGAAAGTCTATTATGTATTAAAATCTTTTTTTTTCGAATTAAACCAATTTATTGACGCTAGATAAAAATAATAGAATTTATTGTTAATGCATTCATTTTTTCAAATGTTGAATTTTCTCATGGGAATTTTCAAATAGTTTGATGAAGAAAAAATCGATGTACTGCACTTATTTCTACGACGAAAAAAAACATGTTAATTATATATTTCTCGAGAAAAAAACAAAGCTTTCAAAAAATCATTGTTTCTATATAAACGGGAAAAAAAAAATAAATCAATCTTTCTGCAAATATTTCTTCCAATCATGCAATTTTTCTTGTAGATGTTATCCATTAATAAGAACTGAAAAGATCACCTAAACTTTCTTATGAGATTCATCTGTTTTCTAGAAAATCACTTGAAACTTGTCATTATTCATTAACATATTTATAATTCAAAGAATAAAAGAAATCGATAATTCGATAGAATGTTAATAACATTTGAATTTTTTTTTTTTTTTTATTATTTCTTTAAGGCTCGGTTTTCATTTAACTGTGAATCAATTATGTTTTCGTCCATCATTATTATTATCATCATCATCGTATCAATTAGCTGGTTGTTCGAATGATGGCACTGTTCGTATTTTCAACATTTCATTATCGTGATGTCTATTCTGTTGTTGTTTTTTTTTAATAAAAGAAAAATGAAGATTGATCGGATTTATGTTTATGAAAAAAACAGTAATTAACATTTTTGTTTTTTTCTATATTTCAGATATGATTCATTGTTTATTTAACAGTATTATGTTTCGTCGTAGTTTTTCTATAAATCAATGTGTTGTCAATAACTTAGAACATCAGATTATTTTTTCAAAACAAATCAGTGGTAAATTACCTAATTAATATGCTATATAGATTAGTTATGTCAAATAGAATTGATCTTGTTCTTTTTTCTTTTTTAACTAAAGAAGCTTTTCTGTCATCTATTGTGTGATTTAAACTCAAGAGAAACAACCCTAAAGGAAAAAAATAGGAAGAAAAGAAGGTAGTAATTGCATCCTCTGATTCGTTCTTTGTGTTTCTATATAGTTCTCTTCTACATAGATATATAAATATATAGTTGTTTCTCCCTCTCAGTCGTCTTGTTCTTGTTCTCTTTCTTCAACTTTTTTTTTTTCTTATCTTACATGAAAAAATAGCTAAGTATTACTGTTGTCCTTGAGATATAGGGTAAAATCTACACACATATGTCGATACAATGATTGTTAAACGATGTGAAAAGTAGTATGCATGACAAAATTGATTTACTCGACATAGTAACATCCGAATGTTTAACAATAGATAGAAGCATAAATAAAAAAAAAAAAGAAAGAAAAATTCAATGAAAGCTCATGTATACAACATACGTCGTAGAAGAACTTCTTTTTTTTTGCATTTTCTCTCGCGTTTTTCTTGTGTGTCGATCGATCATTCTAGCTCACTCAACTACTTGACTTTCGATAGCAAAGGACCAGAGAGAGAATACGAAAGGGAGAGAGAGAGAGAGAGAGAAAATGAGTGAGAAAGAAATGCAAGTTTTTGTCACACTTATCTGATAAACAAAAATGGAAAAGCAAAAAAAAAAGACAGAGGAGAAAAAAAGGAAAAAAAGAATGACATGGTCGTTAGTTATATTAGGCTTCAGAATCTGACTATGCTTTTTCTTATCTATTTTAGGCTCATTTGAACCGAGCTAGATGTTTGAATGGCGGATGGCAATAGCCACCCATTTAATAATGATGTTATTGCTGACGATACGATAGCTCAATTACGAAAACAACTATCTCATCAACAACAACAACATCAACATAATTCCAAACATAAAGATCTTATTGATCTTCTTTCCTCAAATCATACAAGTAATCATTTTTTAAATTCAATTGATCCATCTATTAATATATCATCGCAAGCTATAACCGACGATGATTTTAATCGTCTTAAATCAATAATACGTTCAACAATATGGCCAATTGATCATCTTATTCGTCGACAATTATGGATGAATATATTAACATTAAATCGAGTTAGTACTTCAAAACAACATCGAATTACTCATCATACATCACAAACACCTTTATCAACATCAACAATAACAATTGATAGTAGTTTACATTCATTAACATCAAAATTAAGTCAATGGCCAAATTTTGTTGATATAACTAATTTATGTTTTTATCATTTAACGGAATCAAGAGGATGTTTATTATTACAACATATTTTATTTACATTTGCTTTACATCATCCAGATTTAACTTATTGTCCAGCATTAGAACCTTTATCTTCTTTACTTTTACATTATTTTAATGAACATGAAGTATTATATTTAATTAATCGTTTATTAATTAAACATTGGTTATGTGGTGAAACACGTTTACAATGGGAAGCTAATTGTAATGTATTTAAAAAATTATTAAAAATATACTATGTAAGTTAGATATTAAAATAAAAAATAAAAACATAATTAAATTTATTATTCTCATAGAAATCAACAGCCGATGTTATTGAATTACGTTATACAAATACGAAAGTATTTTATCAAGAATGGTTTTGGTGGATATTTCGTTATCTACCATTTGCTTATCTTGTATGAAAAATCTATTTATTTTTTAAATTTTTTCACTAAATTTATTATTTTAAATTTAGGTAAAAATCATGGATTGTTTCTTGCTTGAAGGTCCAAAAATTTTATATCGTATTGGTTTAGCACTTGTTCATCTGTTTATTAAAAGTATGTTATAGAATTAATTGTTGAGAAAAAAAAAAAAAAAAGAAAATAAAAATCATTAGTTGTTTTTTTCTTACAATGTCATGTCATTTTATAGAACCTCATTCGTACAATTGTTTGTGTAAATATTCACACTTGTTTCCTATATTTGCACTTCCTGAAAATATGCTTATTTTATTTATATATTTATTTATTGTTTTAAACAATTTTCTACAGTCTACAGTCTACTCAACAATAATGTATTGAAATAACATATTTAATACTAACATTTATGCATTTTAGTAAATGCATGAGTACTAACGATATTATTTTATTTAATGCTTTGAAAAAGGGGAAATGAAGGATTTTAGAGGGATATTATTTTATTTTAAGATTTTTTGCTGTTGCTTTCATAAATTGATTATTGTATATAAAACTTTTATTTTTATTATTGTCTAGCTGTTAAACATGAATCGAATGGAAAAATACAAAATATGGCAGATTTTTGCCAACAAATTCCAGTATCTATTGAACATCTTTTAAATGTAAGTTAATTTGAAGAAAATAATGACTACGATAAATGAAATATGAGAAGATCTTGAAATATTTCAATAATGAAAAGGTAGTCATTTTCTTTACTAATATAGAAAATGTATCTTCTTATTGTAATTTATAAAGACAAAATTTTAATATAATGTTGTTAACTTTTAAAGACTATCACTTGTATATCTGATAATATCTCTTTATCAATCATATCTATCTATATTGAGTCTAACGAGGGAAGGTCCCCAGGTGCCACGCTCCGTTTTGAATCGGACATATGCCATTTTGTAGAGCTCAGTGAGACTAGCAAAAGTTTAAAAGGGTTCTTCCCCATGGGCCTTGGGAGTCGAGTTATGCCCTTTCTACTGAATTTTTGACTATTTTTTCGATATTGAGAAGTAAATCAAACAACGGAGTTTTGATCTGAAATTTTGCCCATAGATAGGTCTAATCGTCTTTAGAATATCTTGAAAATTTCAGCTGAAAAGAATGTTCCTTTATCGAGATATTGGATATTCAAGTAGGTTGGCTTTTTGCGCCTTGTCTGTAAAAGCGATGATTTTTTAATAATTCAATATCTCGACAAAGGAACATTCTTTTCAGCTGAAATTTTCAGGATATTCTAAAGACGATTAGACCTATCTATGGGCAAAATTTCAGATCAAAACTCCGTTGTTTGATTTACTGCTCAATATTGAAAAAATGGTCAAAAATTCAGTAGAGAGGGCATAACTCGACTCCCAAGACCCATGGGGAAGAACCCTTCTAAGCTTTTGCTAGTCTCATTGAGCTCTACAAAATGGCATATGTCCGATTCAAAACGGAGCGTGGCACCTGGGGACCTTCCTTCGTAAGAATGATCTTTTTTTTTTTGAACTACGATTGTAATCAAATGAAAATAAATCCAGAAATTTATTAAAGAGATAATTTGTTTTGAGTATGTTAGAAAAACTAAAAAAACAAAAGAATTTTAATTTGAAATCATGAAACTAATGTGATAATTAATAGTATTTGAAGATTATTCATTGAGAGAATATTTTTTTTTTTTGTTTTGTTTTTTTAGGTTGCATTCCATATTCGAAATTTAAAACGTAGTACAATAGAACAATTAATTGAGCATGAAGAAAAATTATTACATACAACTCGTTATTTTCCTCGAACAGATGATATTGATCAGTCTAATAGTAATACAAATATTAACATTAATAATAATAATAATAATAATTTGACTAATAATCATGAAAATATGAGTCAACGACAATCAATATTTATTACTCCTCAACATCTTACACGAATACCAAATACATCTATACTCGATTATCAACAAGTATTTATTGCATTATTTGAAAGAAAAAAAAAAAGGGGAAAATTTCATTTTTTGATATTTTTAGTTTGTTACTCTATGGAATTGGTTACCTGCACGTCTTAGCCTTTCTCAACCTGTCCTTGTTTTTACAACACAAGAACATGGATTTCGTTTACAAACTTTATTAGAAAAAATCGATGATATTGAATATTCAATATTAGTTATCAAAACAACTAATGGCGAAGTAAATTTTCTTTTTGATCCATTTTTGAAATTTGGAAATATTACAAGAAAAGATCTTTTGTCTTGTAAAATACGTTTAATTATAATTTTTATTTTGTTTTCTATTCAAACAGATATTTGGTGCATTTTGTGCTGGTCTTTGGTCTGATCGTCATAATAAAACATATTTTGGATTTGGTGAATCATATTTATTTACTCTTGTACCAAAACAAATCAAATATCCTTGGGTTGGACAACAACAAGAGAATGATAATCGTCAATATAAAGTTAAACGAGAACTTTTCTTATTTGTTAATAATGAAAAATTAATCATTGGCGGAGGGTGAACATTAACAAATGAAAGAAAAGATAAAAATAAAAATTTTTCTTTTTGTTTTATTTTAGTAATGGTGATGGTTTATCTATTGATGCATCATTATGTGAAGGTCGTACAGCTCATTGTGAAACATTTAATAATGAGCCACTTTGTTCGTCACCATACTTTTCAATATCAGTTTTAGAAATGATTACATTTGATTTTTCATCCTCCTAGTCATTTTAAATGCAAAATCCATTAGTATATATACACATATATATATAAATGTGTGTGTGTGCGTGTGTGTGTTTATGTTTCTTTTACTTCCAATTTTCTAAGAAAGAAAAACGTAAAAACCAAATTTAATCGTGTGAGAGAATGGAAGAATATTATTTATATGTACAGTAGTGAATAACAGTATCTTCCTTACCGGATTTTAGCTATTATAAGTGTTAGAGATCTGAGAATTTATGTACATATATTTTGTCAAGAATGTAGTCCAAAGACATGATCTTATCCCTATAAATCACGTATGA